GAGATAGGGGGGTGGGGATGCGCTGTCGGTGGCCGTCGGCCGCCGTGCCCGATGAAAGAGGGTGCGCGGTGCCGAGCCCGGGGCGGCGCCCGAGGCCGAGGGGGGCGAGAGGAGAAGTAGCATGGGTGGTCTGGTGGAGTTCTTTATTTCACATGATCTTCTCAAGGACATTTCTCGGTCACACGCGCTTGGGTCGGGCGGCCGGGGCATCCCCCTCCCGAGCTCCCCCCGGCCCGAGGGGGGTGGGCGGGCGAGATCGAGCAGGGGAGGCTCCCCGGCCGAGGCGGCGCGGCCTCCGACACGCGCGCGTGCATGTGTGCGCCCGTGCGTGAATGCAGGCAAGGGGCCGGGAGGCCACTGACACATACGCACGCGCACACCCCCACATGAATACACACATTAGTGCGGGCCCATCTTCACCGGGCGGTACTGGCCGGGGCCGAGGCCTGGGTGGTCGCCGAGGCCGGTGGCCGAGGCCAGCGGCACTGCGCCGGGGCCCGGCGTCTGCGGCGTTGTGGGGGTGGAGACGCTGGGGCCGGTGCCCAGCGGGGCGGCCAGGCCGGCGGTGGCGGCCGCCAGCGCCCCGGACACGGGCAGGTAAGCCCCGCTGCCGGTGGAGGGCGAGAGGTGGGCGGCCAGGGGGGCCGCATCGCCGGGGGGGTTGGTGGCGGCACCGGCGGCGACGGGCCCGGGGGCGGAGGCGGTGGCGGCGGCCACGGCGGCCGCCATGGTGGCCGCCGCCGACATCTGCAGGTTGGCCAGGGCATGCTGATTGAGCTGCGCAGCGGTGATGAGGGCAGGCGAGGGGCTGTGGGCGGCGGCGGCGGCGGCGGCGGCCGCGGCCGCCGCATAGCTGGCCGCCATGTCCAAGCCGCCGGGCATGGTGGGCACAAAGTGTCCTGGCGGCTTGGCATGGTGGGGCTGGTGCAGCCCATGCTGCTGGTGGTGGGCCAGGTGAGCATGGGCGTGGTGCAGGGGGTGGTGTGGGGAAAGACCGGCCGTGGTGGCCTGGAGGTCCGACGGGCCAGCAGCTCCGGCGTCGCCGGCGGCATGTGCGTGCGGTGCCACCCCGACCGGGGAGATGTTCAAACCACTGAGGGCCGCCGAGGACCGGGACACGGGCGACGAGGCGAGAGACCCGACCGCCCCGGGGCTGGCAACCGCCGGGGCGGGCCCCGGGGCCGAGCCCGCGCCGGCCGGCTGCGCGCCAGTCGGCGAGATGGACAGGGGGGCCATGCTGGCGCTTGCTGCGGCGGCGGCGGCGGCGGCGGCGGCGGCGCCCACACTCGGGCCGCCGGACCCCGGGGCCTGACCGGCCTCCGGCCCCCCGGCCAGCGACGAGCCCAGCGGCGGCGACGCGAGCATCAACCCAGCCGGGGCGGTGGCGGTGGCGGTGGCGCTGGCGCTGGCGCTGGCGGCCTGCCCGGTGGCCGGGGCCGCCATGCCGCCGGGGCTGGGAAGGGGGCTGCCGCCGGCCGAGGGGGCGCTGGCGCCGCCGGCCGAGGCAGCACCACCGGCCGCGGCCCCGGGCGAATTCCTGGGCCAGGTGCGCATGAGCACCCGGCGCCGGGCATTGATGAACCAGTTGTTCAGCTGGGTGATGTCCAGGCCGGTGTGGCTGAGCAGGCGCTGCTTCTCCGTCTCGCTGGGATAGGGATTGGTGTGGTGGGCCAGGATCCACCGGCGGAGGTACTCGCGCACGGGCTTGGTGATGCCCTTTTGCGGGGGTCCAGGCCGGTGTGGCTGAGCAGGCGCTGCTTCTCCGTCTCGCTGGGATAGGGATTGGTGTGGTGGGCCAGGATCCACCGGCGGAGGTACTCGCGCACGGGCTTGGTGATGCCCTTTTGCGGGGCCTGCGGGGCCGGCGGCGGGGTCGGCACCCGCGGGGGGGAATTCCCCGACCGACTGTGGGCATTGGCGCTGTTGTGGATGGGCACGAAGATGGCCGCCCCGCCGGTGGAGCCGCCACCGGGGGAGGTCCCGCGCGGCCCGGTGCGGCCGCCGGTACTCCCGCCCGGGCGGCCTGTCGCCCCGCCGGGGCCGGCCCCGGCAGAGGTGGCCTTTTGGGCCCGGTTGCGGGACATGGAGGCCCCGCCGCCGA